CCACCCCCAGCCGGCCCCATCTGCGCCCCCGGCCAGGCCTCTGTCCTCAGCACTGCCTGTTACCGTTCCGCGCGGAGCAGGTACCCAGCACTGCGGTGGGCGTCCCTGCACCTCCCGGCTCAGGCCCGCTCTCGCCCTTCCGTGGAGGTGGCTGGGCCCTCCGGCTGCAGCCTGCTGTCAGTGAGATCCAGACCTGCCCGCTGGGTCGTGGCAGCGCGAGTCACCCGCTCTGTGGAGCCGGCGAAGAGGGCGTGAAACGGATGCTCGGGGACTCTTCGCGGGGGCCCTGCTGCGGTGCTGGTCTTGTTTCTCCGTGCACGAGGGGCACAAGGGAGGAGAGCTGGATCTTCCTTGCGTCCCGGAGCAGCTGGACTCCACCCGGGACCGAGTGGGTCGTCTCCCTGCCGCTTGCCCCGTCTCTGGAGAAGGGGGCCACCTGGCTGCACGGTGACATGGCTCTTGGGGGCAGGCTGGTGCCTCTTCCAACCCCTGCCTCTTCTCTTCTGTGCAGAAGCCGCGTCGGGGTCTGGGAGCGGCGAGGACGTTCTTCTGGGGGAAGACGATTCGCTCTGACTCCTGCCCAGCCCCTCCCCGGGGCCACAGCGAGCCGGAGGAGTCACCGAGGGAGGTGTGTACAGTGCAGACATGTGGGGGGGGGTGTTGAGGTCCCTGGGATCCTGCTTTCAGGCCAGAGGAAGGGCCTGTTGAATGCCCTCTGTTGGAGTACATGAGGGGAGGCCTTGTCTGCATGGCCCCGTCACCTGCCCCTGGAGTGGGAGGGAGTTGCTCACTAGCACCCCTGGGGGCAGGTTAAGGCGTGGTGCTAATTACAGGCCGGGGCTGTAACCAGCCAATGCTGGGCTGCTGTTTTACGCAAGTAGCAGCCGCTCCCTGTGTCCTTAAGTGTGGCACTTAGGGCCTCTGCTTTCTTGCCTCCCCTTCCCTCCCTAGGAGACTGGCGCCTGGATCGAGACGACTGTGAGGATCCCCGCGGGAGCGGGGGACTAAAATACTGTGGGAAAGCGGAAGGCAAGACCTCTGCTATTGATGCTGGGCCCCGGCGGTGCCGTTTTACCGTGGCAGTGGGACCCACCTGAGCTGTGGGTCTGGAAACGATGGGTTTGCATCCTCTGGGGCGGGGGAGGTGTTTGGGGCAGGGGTGGGAGCGGGGACCAGAGGCAGGCTGTGCTGGGCCTGCCCTCCTGGCGACTCTGGAGGGTGCTAGATTCTGCCACGAACCGCCCGTGTTCCGGACGGGCATTTCTCTGGTGCTGCCCTGGTGAAAATCCAGAGTCGCCGCACTGACTTCTCTTGAGCTGCTCTAGCAATCCTGGTGTCCCTGAGCAGCGTCTGGTCCCCGCTTCCTCCTGAAGAGCCGAGCCCCTCCTGGCCCTGGGAGTTCCTGCCGGCCGTTCGGCCGCGTTGCTCTGCCAGGAGTCCAGGCTGGGTTTGGTTTGAATCTCACTGCAAGGCGCCTGCGCCAAAGGCCCAGCTCTGCCGTCCTTCCCCCTGCAAGGGAGACGCTGGAGACACGAGCTTTTTCAGCTGTAGAAAGGGGGCGGGAGGGTACCTTGTGCTGCCTTGGGCTGGAATTCGGCACCTGGGTTGGCCTCACGCAGCTGGCGCGTTCTGTCCGTCCCCACCCGAGCTCGTTTGGGTAAGGCTTGCGGGTGGATGCAGCACTGGGGGAAGGAGCTGGCTTGTGCTGTGACGCACCAGCCTGCCTGCTGCAGCCACTCACTCGCCTGCTGTTCTTTGCTCCGTGCGAGTAAACCCCCGGCTGCCATGGGGTGGGCCCGGGACTCTCACGAAGCACAGGGGCACGCACTTGATGGACCAAAGCCGGGGCCTGCATGCAGCTGTTACGCTGCGGCCCAGCTAGCGTAGCTCACCTGAGAAAATCTTGCCTTGAACTTGTCCTTTGGCAGTGGGGTTGTGGGATGCTCATGGGGCCAGGTCCTGCCAGCACGTGCTTTACTAAAGTACCAAGTTACGTTTACAGAGAAGAGAATCCTCTTAGGCCGGGAATGTTGGAGCCGCGTTTTCATTTTGATGATGCTCTAGGAGCTGACCTGTCGTCTTTTTGGCTGAGTCCCGGATCTGCCTCCTGCCGGCTGCAGAGCTGTAGTTTTGAAGTGGTTTCTAGGGCACTCGGTGGGGGCCTATTGCTCTTCCCCTGGGAGGTGACCGGAATTGTTAGGTCGGCACTGGGGCCTTTTGCAAATTTCTGTCTCCTTGTCGCATGGAGCAGTCCGGGCAAAGCATATGTAGCCTGCCGCCTGCGGAGAGGGTACCGTGCTGGCTGAGGAGACGCTCTTGTCCACGGGAACTGGCCAGAGCTTTATGCCTCTATCTAAAGTGGCTTTGGAAATTCCAGCAACATTTCCTGGGGAGGAAGGGGGGAGTTGCAGCCTTTCAGCTGGGTGTGTTTTTACCCCAGCCCCATGTTTGGGGGTGAGCAGGGGCAGAGGAGACAGGCTTGGAGAGAGCTGGGCCCCTTGGCCAGTGGTTTCTTTAATAAAATTCTGTTGAAAGTTTTTCCAGTCCTATTCTGCCAAGTCCCTGGTGGGGGAGGGTGGAGTGTGTGGGGGAGCAGGGGAAGAGGGAGGGCTTAAAGCTGGGTTGTAGGACACCAGGGGTCAACTCCCCACCTTACTAAGGCCCCTGGGGGATGCTGGCTGGGAGGGGCTTATTGTGTGCCAGAGAAATAGTATCCAGTGCAGGGCCTCTCTTCCCTCTATGGCGGGAGCCTTAGGCAGACCATACTACAAACCAGGGTGGGGGAATCTTCCTGCTCCCAGGCTGGATCTGCCCCCTGCTAAATTCATCCGGCCGAGGCAAGGACTGGCCAGAAGCCCCGATACACTGGACTGGAGCTGCAAGGAATTGTGGCCAGCTCTGAGCCCCTGTCCACACCCTAACCCCCTCCCAGGCCCTGCACACTCTGCACCCCTTATCCCCAGAGCCCCCTCTGCTCCAGCCTGGAGCCCTGTCCTGTATCCTGAACCCCTCCTTTCTGGCCCCTTGCCGGAGCCTGGAGTCTCCCTGCTGTGGGGCTGTGTGGGGCCCCGGACTCACTTTTTTTCCTGAGCAGCTGTGGCCAGAAAAAGGTTCCCCACCCCAGGGACAAAGTGTCAGTGCCCATGTCACCCCGGCCAGGGCTTTAAAGGGGGGGGGGGGGGTAAATTTTGCAGGTGTGAAAGGCCCTGAGGCAGGGGGGGGGAGCGGCGCCCCCTTCCTGGTTCTGGGAGCTCCCATGCTGAGCCTCAGTCCAGGCCACAGGGCCAAGCCCTGAATACAGAGCTCTGTTCCGCCCAGGACCGGGCCCTGCCGAGTCAGGCTGGAGGCCTGTAGCAGGCCGGTTGATCTGGGCCCTGTGCAGCTGTACAGACACCTGCTGATCTCACGTGTGAGTCAGAAGCTGCAAGATTCTTTCCTCCTCCCCCCTGGTGCTTTTTTAAGGTAAAGCCCTTCTCTCTCCCCCCTCTTCCCCACATCAGCCCCCCGCTCCTCC